AGCCGCCTCCAGTCACCACTGAGCAGCATGGGGCACGCTATGCCTGTCGAATTCACCATCCCAGCCTGCCGGCCTCCTCGGGGCGCAGCGCTGAGGTCACCCTGGAGGTAGCAGGTAAGAGCTGGGAGCTCCGCGGAGCCTGAGCCAGCCTTCGGGAAGACAGGAGCTCACTCTCATCCCTTCTGCCTGCCAGGTCTCTCAGGACCCTCCCTCGAGGACAGCATAGGCCTTTTCCTGTCTGCCTTTTTTCTGCTCGGGCTCTTCAAGGCACTGGGCTGGGCTGGTGAGTGTGAGCCCCACCCTGACCATGACCTGAGGCTGGTGGACTTTTCCCTCCTCTACTCCCAGAAGCCTGATACCCATCCCTCTGCCCTCCACCTGTACCAGTCCGGCATCCCATCCCTTCTCAATCTTTTCCCACAGCTGTCTACCTGTCCACCTGCAAGGATTCAAAGAAGGTACATTGCTCCACCTCTCTGTATCTTTCCCTTGTCACTTTATCTCCTCATCCTATCTTAAAACCCATGGAGGGAGGCTGCTGGTGTGGCAGGCAGAACCTAGGCTTAGAATTCACGCTGATCTGGGTTAAAACCTGGCACTATATCCTAACTGTAGGAGTCTTTGTGCATGCTACTTAATCTGTATCTGTTTCCTTGGGTGTAGGGATTTTATTTTATTTTTTTTTCTTTTTTTTTGAGACGGAGTCTCGCTCTGTCGCCCAGGCTGGAGTGCAGTGGCCGGATCTCGGCTCACTGCAAGCTCCCCCTCCCGGGTTTACGCCATTCTCCTGCCTGGCGCCCGCCACCTCGCCCGGCTAGTTTTTTGTATTTTTTAGTAGAGATGGGGTTTCACCGTGTTAGCCACGATGGTCTCGATCTCCTGACCTCGTGATCCGCCTGTCTCGGCCTCCCAAACTGCTGGGATTACAGGCTTGAGCCACCACGCCCGGCCGGGTGTAGGGATTTTAAAAAGTTACTTAGGCAGTGCTGTCTAGTAGAAAGATAATGCAAGCCACATATGTAAATTTAAATAATCTAGTAGTCACATTAAAAAAAAAGCAGGAACAGATAAAATTAACTTAATAATATACTTTATTTAATCTAGTAATTCTGGTCCCTTATCTGAAATACTTGGGACTAGAAGTGTTTTTGGATGTTGGATTTTTTTCAGGCTTTGGAATATTTGCATATATAATATCTTTGGGATCACACCCAAACCTAAACACAGAAATCATTTATGTTTCCTATACACATTGTACACATGGCCTGAAGACTTTGTTTCCTTGTTTTTTTTTTTGAGACAGAGTCTCTGTCGCCCAGGCTGGGGTACAATGGTGTGATCTCGGTTCATTGCAACCTCCACCTCCCAGGTTCAAGCGATTATCCTGCCTCAGCCTCCCGAGTAGATGGGATTATAGGCACCCACCACCACACCCGGCTAATTTTTGTATTTTTAGTAGAGACCAGGTTTCGCCATGTTGGTCAGGCTGGTCTCGAACTCCTGACCTCGGGTGATCCGCCCACGGCCTTGGTCTCCCGAAGCGTTGGGATTACAGGTGTGAATCACTGCACCCAGTCACAATATTTTTAATAATATATGTGATCCATCACATGAGGGTAGCTGTGGGATTTTCTACTTGTGGCATCATGTTGGCACTAAAAAAATTTCAGGTTTTAGAACATTTCAGATTTTAGATTTTTGGACCGGTGATACTCAACCTGTACATCCAAAACATTATTGCAACATGTGAACAATATAAGAAATTACAGGCTGTTGTGCACAGTGGCTCACGCCTGTAATCCCTGCACTTTCGGAGGCCGAGGCGGGAGGATCACCTGAGGTCAGGAGTTCGAGACCAGCCTGGCCAACATGATGAAACCCTGTCTCCACTAAAAATACAAAAAATTAGCCAGACGTGGTGACGGGCCCCTGTAATCCCAGCTACTCGGGAGACTGGGGCAGGAGAATCACTTGAACCTGGGAGGCGGAGGTTGCAGTGAGCCGAGATCACACCATTGCACTCCAGCCTGGGAGACAAAAGCAAAACTTTGTCTCAAAAAAAGAAAAGAAAAAGAAATTACAATCTCGGCCAGGCGAGTTGGCTCACGCCTGTAATCTCAGCACTTCAGTAGGCTGAGGTGGGCGGATCACCTGAGGTCAGGAGTTCAAAACCAGCTTGCCCAACATGGTGAAACCCCGTCTCTACTAAAAATACAGAAAAATTAGCCGGGCATGGTGGTGCGCACCTGTAATCTCAGCTACTCAGGAGGCTGAGGCAGAATTGCTTGAACCGGGGAGGTGGAAGTTGCGGTAAGCCGAGATCGCACCACTGCACTCCAGCCTGGGCAACAGAGGGACGCTCTGTCTCAAAAAACAAAACAAAACAAAACAAATTAGCTGGGCACGGTGGCACACACCTATAGTCCCAGCTACTTGGGGAGCTGTGGCAGAAGCATCACTTGAATCTGGGAGGTCGAGGCTGCAATGAGCCAAGGTTGTGCCACTGTACTCCAGCCTGGGTGACAAAGTGAGACCCTGTCTCCAAAAAAAAAAAAGAAAAAGAAAAGAAATTGCAGCCCTTTTTCCACCCTAAGTATTCGAAAGCAGGTGTTTAAACAGTCAGCACATCTCAGTTTGGACTAGCCACATGTCAAATGCTCAATAGCCAAATGTGGGTAGTGGCTGCCATATTGGACAGTGGAGCCTGAGAGGACTGTTAGGAGGATTAAGGAAGACAGTGTATCTCCTTTAGAAGATGTAGGAGATAGAGCACTCAGCACAGTGTCTGGAGGGCAGAAAATGTTAGCCTCATCCTTCTCCTATCATCTGTGCCCATGATAGTTTATATGCCTCTGGACTGACCATATACACCTCAACTGCCTTCTAATATTCTGAATTCCTCACCACCTTCCTCTCTTCCAGAAAGCAGAGTGAGGGCACTCACCTCCATCCTGTGGAAGCCACCATCATCTCTGGCCCAAGCGTCTGTAGTAGCTCCCCAAAATAATACCCCATCATCTGTTCCTACTCCCTCCAATCTCTCTCCACTGAGTGGCTGGAATGCTTTTTTTTTTTTTTCCCACTTATACAAGGGAGATTTTTTTTTTTTTTTTAAAGACAGTCTTACTCTCTTGCCCAGGCTGCAGTGCAGTGGTGTGATCTTGGCTCACTGCAACCTCCGCCTCCTAGGTTCAAGCAATTCTCTGGTTTCAGCCTCCGGAGTAGCTGGGATTACAGGCACATGCCACCACACCAGCGAATTTGTGTATTTTTAGTAGAGACGGGGTTTCACCATTGGCCAGGCTGGTCTTGAATTCCTGACCTCAGGTGATCCGCCCTCCTCGGCCTCCCAAAGTGCTGGGATTACAGGCGTGAGCCACTGCACCAGGCCCAAGAAATGCTTTTTTAAAAAACACACATCTTATGGCATTCACCTTCTTGGAGCTCTAGGACAGTGGTTCTCAAAATTTTTTCTCTCAGGACCTCTTAAAAATCATCAAGGACTCCAAAAAGCTTTTGGGTATGTGGGTTATAGCTATCAATATTTATGGTACTAGAACTTAAAACAGAAAAATTTAAAATACGAGAATACATACGCATACATTCCATTCATTGTGGGAACCATGGTGTCAATACATATCATGTAGTTTCTGAAAAACTCCACTGTACACTCTTATAGAATGAAGAAGGCAAAAAACCTTTTTTGTTTTGTTTTTTGAGACAGAGTCTCTCTCTGTCGCCCAGGCTGAAGTGCAGTGGCGAGATCTCGGCTCACTGCAAGCTCCGCCTGCCGGGTTCACACCATTCTGGTGCCTCAGCCTCCCGACTAGCTGGGACTACAGGCGCCCTCCACCATGCCTGGCTAAAATTTTGTATTTTTTAGTAGAGACAGGGTTTCACCGTGTTAGCCAGGATGGTCTTGATCTCCTGACCTCGTGATCCACCCGCCTCGGCTTCCCTGTGGTGGGATTAGCGGCGTTAGCCACCGCGCTCGGTCGCAAATAACATCTTAATTTTGTTATAAAAAATAGTCAATCTCACATACCCCTGACATAGTCTCAGCGACCTGTAGGGCCGAGGTTACACTTGGAGAACCCGTGCTCTAGGGCCAAACCCATTCTTCTTGCCCTGGCCCACGTGTTCCCCCCACCGCCCCACACTGGAGCCATTGCCTAATTCTCCAGCCCTAGATGGTGCTCGCCAGCTCTCTTCTCAATGCTCATCACACACAGGGCTATTCCTTTCCTCCAATGAACCAACCGCCTCCCGCCCACCTCCAGTTCCCAGCCCTCTGTTCCCTTTGCCTGGTCCACCCTCGGCCTCCCTGGGTCGCAGACGAGGTCGGCCTCGTCATTCCCCGCAGACCGCCGCGCGTCCCTCTTGTGCGGTTCACCACAGTTGTATTTTAAGTGATCGTGTGAGTCGTCGTTAAATGCCTGTCTCCCCGCGGATCATGGGCTCCTCGAGGACAGAGACCAGCCTGTCTGTCCACTGCTGTAATCCCGCGCCGGCATAGGGACGTAAGGCCCCACTGGAGGGCGCTCATCAAATAGCTGCTGGATATTGACGAAGGAAGCGGCGGCGCAGCTCAGGGATCTCCGAGTCAGGACTGTCGGCCAGACCGACGGGGTAACGGGTCTAATGGTGTGGGAATAAAGTTGTATTCCAGTGCTTCCAAACGGGCCTCTCATTCCAACCCCCTTCCAAGCAAAATGAATATTCCAATCACCTCTGGTCCCTTCCAGCGACCCTGAACCCCTCAGAGAACGCCCCGTCGACACCGTTCCGGGTCGGGCGCCACTACTGGCGCATAAGATGCGCTCAAGCGGAGGGTACTCCAACCGCAAAGCGACGCCGAGCCGACAGGGATCCCGGCCTCGGCGCCGGAAGTCCCAGAGAGCCGAATCTGGAACCGGATGTGGCTGCTTCCTGCCCCGCCCCCTGCCGAGGGGGCGGGAACCGAGGGCCCTTCGGAAAACCCGGCCGGGATTTCGGTCAGCTGAGTTCGTGGGTTGTGGTGGGGAGCGTAATCCCGTGGGGATGGAGTGACCCACTCTCTCTCCTCCTGAAACGCTTCCCGCGGGAGTTTTAGCCGTGTTATTGTTGGGGAAGGGAATGTCAAATTCTGCTCCTGCCTTCCCCCAGGGGCTGGAGACTGGAATCTTTATTCCAGTTCAGTGCGGAGCGACGTGGTCTCCAGAATCCCCGAGTGTAGAGGCGGAGGACAGTGGAGCTGGGGACTCGGGCGCCTGGGTCCTGGTCCCTGAGCGTCCGGCGCTCCCCTAGTCCGCGGCCCTGGCTCCTGTCCTCACTTCCTTCCCCTTTTGGCTCCTGCTCTCGGAGCGGGCGGACGCGGGGGGGAGCGGAAAGGGCGGAAGGGCCCGGGAGCCTAGCGGGAGGGGTTCAAGGGGGTACGGAAAAGCCGGGGAGGGGACTTGGTCCGGGGCCGGAGACCGACGGCAACAGCGGCCCAGGACCCACGCTGCCCCCACCCCTCCCGAGCAGGTCAGAGCCTGAGCACCCTGCGCGTCCCCGTACTCGTGACCCCCTCCTCCCCCAACTGCACCAAGGGCCACCCTATTTCACCCTTCTGTTGCCCCCCTCCCCCAGCCTTCCTGCAGAATTCCCTTCCGGTCTTCTTGACACCCACCCACGTCCCTTCCCTGCCCGGCTCCCCCGCGCCCGCCTGACTCTCCACCCCCACCCCACCCCGTCTCTCCCCAGGCGCCCCCATGGCCCGACCCCGCTGATTCCTTCACTCGGCCATGCTCCCGCGGCCCCTGCGGCTGCTTTTGGACACGAGCCCCCCAGGGGGAGTCGTACTGAGCAGCTTCCGAAGCCGGGACCCCGATGAGGGTGGGGGCCCAGGTGGCCTGGTCGTGGGCGGGGGGCAGGAGGAAGAGGAGGAGGAAGAAGAAGAGGTGAGACGCGGGTGGTGGGAGGTAGGGGGCGGATGTATTTCTGAAGTCTCCACTTTTCTCTTGTCTCTGGGTCCCTACATCTCCTCCTCCTTGCCTCAGTTATTCTCGCGCCTCCCTGGGTGTCGGCCCGTTTCTCTGCTGCGGGGAGTCCCGGCGTCTCTGTGGTTCTCTGTCAGTGTGACTCAGGACCTGCCCGCAGGAACCTGCCTGGAACTTCTGGCTGGCTGTCCCTGCGGGTCTCTGGCCCTCTGCCTCTGCCTGCCTGAGTGTGCCTACTTCTCTGAGCAGTCTTGTCTTGCCCCCTGTCTCCCTCCTTGTTTTTGTTTGGCGGGGAGGGGTTTGTTTCCACAGTAACCAGCTCCTCTGACTCTGGGATTGGGGAGGGAACCCTCAGATTTCGTGACCCCTCCTTCCCTCCCTCCCCTTTACCCCCCGCCCCCCCATCCTCGGTAGAGGCAGGGAAGCCACGGTTCTGGGACCTGGAGGAACGATCCTAGGGTGGGTAGAGAGTGGTTACCTGTTTTCATTAGGGATTAATGGTGGTGGCCAGGAGCAGGATTTTAGGCCTCAGGAGGGGCCAGAATTTGGATTTGGGGCCCCGAGGCCCTGAACTCCTAGGTCCAGATCCTAAGTGAGGGCAGGTTGACTGGCAAGGCTGGTTTTTCGGGATCGGTCGGGGGAGGGACTGGGGCCACGTGACTCTCTGAGTCTACCGCCCCCCAGCCCCCATCATCCCACTTCCCCTTTTCCTTCCTGGACTGGGATTGGAGCTGCTACCTTCAGGGGTCCCTTAGGGCTGAGATAGTGGAGGCACTACCTGAGGGACCAGGGTGAAAGGGGGCCTGAGAAGGACTAAAGCTCTGGGCTGGTCTAGTCCTTGGCCGGGAGGGGTGGGGCATGCGGCAGTGCCTGAACTGAGGTTTCAGCTACTCCTAGTCTCTGCCTCTGGCTTGCTGCCTCTCGCTTCCCTTTCCTGCTCTTTGTACCCTGCTTCTCTGTAGTGTGTGGGTTCAGCTCTCGGGGGAAAGGGCTTTGGGGGTCTCCAGGATCAGAATTCCTGTACTCCATCCACGCCTCCACTGCAGCCCCTTCGACTCCACCGGGGCCCTGAGGCGACTGGGGTGGGGCTGTCTGGGCCCCAGTGGGGGAGACCTGGGGTCACCAGCTCCCCCCACCCTTCCTCGCACTCGCTGGTACTATGCCCTGCCACCACAGGTGAGGGGTATAGAGGGAGAAGCAGGGCCTGGGGTGAAGGCTGAGGGCAGTGGGGGGTGTATGGAACTGTCTGACTTCCCCTTCCTTGCTCCTGCAGGCCCCTGTGTCCGTCTGGGATGAGGAGGAGGATGGTGCCGTGTTTACCGTCACAAGCCGCCAATATCGACCTCTTGATCCCTTGGTGAGATCATGATTTTAGCTTCTCACCTCTGACTCTTCAGTTCCCTTCCTCTGGCTGACTTTCTGGCCAGAGTGCTAGGTTGGAGTTCTGGAGTCCTGGACTCTGCTGTATGACATAGGCCAAGACTTTTGCCCTCTCTGAATATCAGAAAAATGAGGCTGGAACATCTCCTGGGTCTGGGATTGTCCTCAGAAATCTAGGGGCAGAGTGAGAGAAAGCGTTGGTGATTATCTCTTTGTGTCCTCCAGGTCCCTATGCCTCCCCCGCGTTCCTCCCGACGGCTCCGAGCTGGCACTCTGGAGGCCCTGGTCAGACACCTACTGGATACCCGGACATCAGGGACTGATGGGACTTTCATGTCAGCCTTCCTGGCCACCCACCGGGCCTTCACCTCGACGCCTGCCTTGCTAGGACTTATGGCTGACAGGTCAGAGTCATAAGGGACCCAGGGTCGTGGAGTGTCTGTCCAGATTTCCTAAAGTTCCAACATCCCACCAAAATAGTTAAGGCCACTGGGGGTTTGGGGAAAATGGACAGATAGATCCTCTTCTTCCCCTCAGGCTGGAAGCCCTTGAATCTCATCCTACCGGTGAACTAGAGAGGACAACAGAGTGAGTGACCCCTGTTTCTTAATCTCACAGTCCACTCTGCCCAGGCTGCAGCTTTACCTCTCACCCTTGGCTGATTCCCTTCTCCCAGGGTAGCCATCTCTGTGCTGTCAACCTGGCTGGCCTCTCACCCTGAGGATTTTGGCTCTGAGGCCAAGGGTCAGCTTGACCGGCTTGAGAGCTTCTTACTTCAGACAGGGTATGCAGCAGGGAAGGGTGTTGGGGGGGGCAGCGCTGACCTCATCCGCAACCTCCGGTCCCGGGTGGACCCTCAGGCCCCCGACCTTCCTAAGCCCCTGGCCCTCCCCGGCGATCCCCCTGCTGACCCCACGGATGTCCTGGTGTTCCTCGCTGACCACTTGGCCGAACAGCTGACCCTGCTAGATGCGGTGAGACCCTGACCTCTGGCCCGTATGCCCCCTGACCCCTTACTAACCTCTCCTTGACTCCAGATCCTTTCCTTGCTTCCACCCTTTCCTGATCCAGCTCCTAGCCTCCTTCACCTACCATTTTGACTTTCCCTTTTTCCCTTTGGTTGTTACCCTTCAAACCCTGTGCCCCTCTGGTTCCTTGGCCACCTGAGATCCTCAGATCCCTAATATTGGAAGGCTGACCTCACTTGACTATGAACTTTAACCTCTTACCTCTACCCTGCAGGAGCTATTTCTCAATTTGATCCCCTCTCAGTGCCTGGGAGGCCTGTGGGGTCACAGAGACCGGCCAGGACATTCTCACCTCTGCCCATCTGTCCGAGCTACTGTCACACAGTTCAACAAGGTGGCAGGGGCAGTGGTTAGTTCTGTCCTGGGGGCTACCTCCACGGGAGAGGGACCTGGGGAGGTGACCATACGGCCACTCCGTCCCCCCCAGAGGGCCCGCCTCCTGGAGAAGTGGATCCGTGTGGCGGAGGTGAGAGAGAAGATTGCCCCACGGTGGGTGGCCATGGCATGGAGAGGGCTCCCATAGCCTTAGCTCTCTTTGACCCCCACAGGAGTGCCGGCTGCTCCGAAACTTCTCTTCAGTTTATGCTGTGGTGTCAGCCCTGCAGTCCAGCCCCATCCACAGGCTTCGGGCAGCCTGGGGGGAAGCAACCAGGTGGGGGGGCTGAGGCATTGGACTGGGGTGGGGGTTCCTCAGAAGGCAGGGAAGAGGGGGTGACAGAGCCAGGCCTGTCCTCAGGGCCATTTTCTCCCTCCCCCAGGGACAGCCTCAGAGTCTTTTCTAGCCTCTGCCAGATTTTCTCCGAGGAGGATAATTATTCCCAGAGCCGGGAGCTGCTCGTGCAGGTGAGAGCCTGGTTTGTGGCATTCCCCCCTCTCCCTGCTCCCTACTGCTCCCCCACGTCTCTTTATTTTGTCACCACCAGGAGGTAAAGTTGCAGTCTCCTCTGGAGCCACACTCCAAGAAGGCCCTGAGGTCTGGCTCCCGGGGTGGGGTGAGTGACTAGCTGGGTGGTGGGCTTGGGGGTTGTGATTATGAAGGGGTGAGGAGTATGTTTTAGGGGAACAGCCTGAAGGATGGGTAAGGGAGGCACAGAGGGGTGAGGGGTGAGGAGAATGAAATCTGTTCTCTGAGGCAATGGGGAGGGCAAGTGCGGAGGGACGGAGGGCCCTCACATCCATGGCAGGCACATCTGACCCTGACCCCTGACCTCAGGGTATAGTCCCATACCTTGGCACCTTCCTGAAGGACCTTGTGATGCTGGATGCAGCCTCCAAGGATGAGTTGGAGGTCAGTGGTGTGTGTGTGTGTGTTGTTATGATGATGTAACAAGTGGGCTGCAGGGTCCGACAGATTCCCCCCTTGCAAGGGGCTGTAAGGCACAAATAGCTGAGTGTAGGACAAAGCCAGATCTATTTCTGTGCCAAGTTGCCTCAGTGGTCTGTAAATGAGAAACTAGAAATAGCATCTACATTGATCTGTTATTATAAGGGTTAAATGAATTCGTATTTGTCAAGTGCTTAGAACATGCCTGAAACGTAAGCACATCTAGGTTTTGTGATGGGCTCCTGCTCTATTGCTAGAGTTTGTTAAATAAACAAATACTGAGACCTTGGGCAAGTTCCTTATCCTCTCTGGATGAGGAATCCTATCCAACTGGATTCTATCCAGTCTTCTCATCTGCAAAGCAGACTAGTTGTCTACCTGAGATATTAAATTTCAAGGGTCAAGTGCAGTGCTTAGGCCATGATAGATTGAGGGGGAAGGCAGGGAGGGATGGAAGAGTCAGAGAGACTAGAGGGAAGTGATTGTGAGTTGGATGTGGCTGTGTGTGTTTAAGAGAGGGGATATTCTCTCTCTGTGGCCTGGAAGGTAGTGTTAGAACTTTCACTCCATCCCCATTTTCCTCGCAGAATGGATACATCAATTTTGACAAGCGGAGGAAGGTGAGCGGAGTGCCTGGGCTGGATGGTGGACTTCTCAATCCGTGTTCCCGGAAGGGGAGGGGGGGAAGTCAGGTGTCCCTGAGTTTTGGCTCCTGCAGTTTGAGGGCTCCTTCCCAGGAGTTTGCAGTCCTTTCTGAGTTGCGACGGCTCCAGAATGAATGTCGTGGCTATAACCTCCAACCTGACCATGATATCCAGAGGTGGCTACAAGGGCTCCGGCCACTGACAGAGGCTCAGAGGTGACTGGCGGGTGAGGTTGGGACTCTAGGGCTCTGGCCAGGTGTGGGGGATTGGTGTCATGTCCTGAGCTCTGTCTTTTGCCCCCAACCCAGCCATCGTGTATCCTGTGAGGTGGAGCCACCTGGTTCCAGTGACCCTCCTGCCCCACGGGTGCTTCGGCCAACATTGGTCATCTCGCAGTGGACAGAGTGAGAGATTCACTGGCTGGGGGGTGGTTACTTGGAACTTCCACTTTTCTTCTGATCCTCCCAATCTCCTGCCACTGTAGGGTTCTGGGCTCTGTTGGGGTCCCTACCCCGCTTGTGTCCTGCGAGCGGCCCGGTATGGCGGGAGATGAGGTGCCTACGACTCCTGCTCCTCTGCTGACTCGGCTGGCCCAGGTGAGCTCTGCTCCTGACTCTGACCTTGACGCTGACCCTCACTCTGTAAATGTTTCTTCCTTAACCTCCCTGCCTTCATGCCAGTCCCATGTTGTTTATTCCTAGCACATGAAGTGGCCGTCCGTCTCGTCACTAGACTCTGCCCTGGAAAGCAGTCCATCCCTGCACAGTCCAGCTGACCCCAGCCATCTCTCCCCACCAGCCTCCTCCCCTAGGCCTTCTCGAGGTCACCGCCGCTCAGCCTCCTGTGGCTCCCCGCTGAGTGGGGGTGCAGAAGGGGCCTCCGGGGGGACTGGATATGGGGGAGGGGGATCTGGGCCAGGGGCCTCTGATTGCCGAATCATCCGAGTCCAGATGGAGCTGGGGGAAGATGGCAGTGTCTATAAGAGCATTTTGGTGAGGGAGCCTTGGGATGGAGTTGGGGTGAAGGATGGTGTCTTGTTGGACTATAAATGTCTGAGGTTTGGGCAACCAAATGGAATTGAATGTAGTTTTAATTTTGACTTTTGGTTTTGGCAGTTGTTTTACTTATTTTTAATTTTATCTTGTAAACTCTGGTCTTCAATACAAGCTGAAATTTGTTTTATTTTGATGGCTATTTTGCATTAGTTGCTACACCTTAAACTTTTGGTGGCCATATTAAAATTTCAGAATCAACAGCAGTTTCCCCAAAGGCAAGCAGCTCTGTTTCACTGGGCACCATGTGGGCTGGCTTATGGGGTATAGGAAGCCACCGTATTGGGTTTCCCTGTTCCTTTTAAAGCCTTGGACACAACCTTTTGTGGTTGGGTTCAGTGGCTAAGGGTAGAAGGATGGGAATTCATGGCTGATTGATTGCTCTTTTGGTCTCCTGTCCTGCCAGGTGACAAGCCAGGACAAGGCTCCAAGTGTCATCAGTCGTGTCCTTAAGAAAAACAATCGTGACTCTGCAGTGGTTTCAGAGTATGAGCTGGTACAGCTGCTGCCAGGGGAGCGAGGTCAGAGGCCATGAGGGAAAGGCAGACTCGGGAGGAGAGTGGAGTGCTTCCACATCTGGGCGGCTGTGGGGGGAATGACTGTGTTTGTGCTTGACATCCATCCCCTGAACCTTCAGAGCTGACTATCCCAGCCTCGGCTAACGTATTCTACGCCATGGATGGAGCTTCACACGATTTCCTCCTGCGGCAGCGGCGAAGGTCCTCTGCTGCTACACCTGGCGTCACCAGTGGCCCGTCTGCCTCAGGAACTCCTCCGAGTGAGGGAGGAGGGGGCTCCTTTCCCAGGATCAAAGCCACAGGGAGGAAGATTGCACGGGCACTGTTCTGAGGAGGAAGCCCCGTTGGCTTACAGAAGTCATGGTGTTCATACCAGATGTGGGTAGCCATCCTGAATGGTGGCAGTTATATTACATTGAGACAGAAATTCAGAAAGGTAGCCAGCCATCCTGGGGCAGTGAAGTACCACCGGTTTACCAGACAGCTGAGAAATCCAGCCCTGTGGGAACTGGTGTCTTGTAACCAAGTTGGATACCTGTGTGTAGCTTCCCACTTGTGTGTGCTTCCTACCTGTGCAGCACGCAGGTAGTGCTGGAAAAAACGCATCAGTTTCTGATTCTTGGCCATATCCTAATATGCAAAGGGCTAAGCAAAGGCCTCAAGGCTCTGAGCCCCAGGGCAGAGGGAAATGGCAAAAAGTAGGTCCTCGCAGGAGTTCTTCCCACTCTGGGGATTTCTATCACTGTGACAACACTAAGATAATAAACCAAAACACTACCTGAATTCTACTCCCCTGTCCTTGTAGTGCGTATGAACTGGCTGCTATGAGTGGGGGTGGGGAATTGGCTGAAGGTAGATGCCATGGAACAGGAAGGGGCACAATGTTTTCTATCCCCATGAACAGAGCAAAAAGTGAGTGAGGTATTGGTGAAAAAAGTTTCCTCAGAACAATTTTTCTTCAGTAACCTCTCTACCACTGGTCCCTTGCTGCAAATGTGTATAGAACAATTTTAGGACAAGGAAATGGCAGAACAACTTTATGGACGACATATAAACTTGGGAGGACTTATACACTACAAAGCATTATGTGCTGGGATTTTAAGTCAGTTTAAGCTACATTCAAGCAAATTCTAGGAAGACAAAGGCTGAAAAGTACCAATAGAGATGCCAGGGCTGCTGGCAAGGAGGGTAACCACATTTCATCCTGCGGCCTCAGGTTAGAGAACTGTGAATTCTTTTTCAATTGAACTGACATTCCTAGTAATATGCTATGTTGTAAATGCCCTTCCAAAATAATCATGCCAACCAAGATGAGGGAAAGTTAAGGGTTGTATATACAGGCAAGAAGTAGGTTTGAGGACGTTTAGGATTTCACTTTCAAGAAAGAAAGAACATCGTGCCACAAAGAAATTCCAAGTGCAAGAGTTTGAACCTGAGGGGGTAATACAGGTGGTGTGTGTGAAGGTGGAAGGGACTGTGGGGATATGACAGAAGCGCCTGGTCAGGAAACAGAGCCAGGTGTTTTTACATTTTATTAGCTACAGTATAGATCCTAGAGCTGCCTCATTCCCTCCCCTCCCCTCCCCTCCCCCCACCATGGGGTCAGGCCTTGCCAGGAGCCCCTGCCTTTGCCGCCTGGGCCCGCTGGAACTCCTGCTGCAGCTGAGCAAGGGTCTCCCTCTGTTGCTCTGACTGCCGCTCAAGATCCCGGAGCTGGGATTCGTATCGCTTACTAAAGAGAGACAAGGTAGACAAGTAGAAAGGGAGAAATTAGTAGGACTTACTATGGAGGGTGCTAAACGCAAGAAAGAGGTGGAAAACGAGATTAGGGAAGGGAGAAGGGGGGTTAAAAGGGAAGGAAGGGGTTGGAGGAACTGGAGGACTAGGGGCCACTATGGAGAGCTGTTCTGCAATGGTTCAACACCTCTACTCCAATGGTTCACTTGCATCACAGGGTGCAGCACACAGTGGTGGAATAAAGACTCACATTTCAGCTGTGATATAGTCCAGCCTCTTCCCTACTGTGGCCCGAGCCTCCCCCAGCTCCTGTTTGACTAGCACCGGACCCAGAAGTTTAAAGACCACGTTGGACCCATCCAGCAGGGCCAGTTCCTGATGGAGGGATGGGACATACGTGATCAGAACCATGGCTAGTACAGGTCCCTCCTCGCCCCACAAATCCCAGTCCCTCACCTCTTTCACGATATTATTTTCTGTTAGTTGTGCTTCAAGTTTCTGCCTCCCCGACATGGATTTACTCAAGTCTGGGGATAAGAGGAAAGGCAAGATTAGAAACATCAATCCTAGTCAGGTGGATATGGATCTGAGGAAGCAGAAAAAGATGGGGGCAGTGGGTCAGTGAACAGGGAAGAGTACTGAAGCGGGAAAGTCTCTGCACGCGAGGGCCCAGATGGGGCAACAAACCTTATCTCGGTAATGGCTTTGGGTTGTGAGTGCATTGGGCGAGGCCATACCGACCCTGCTCCCTTACCCTTCTGTAGCTGTTGATATTTCTCCACTTCTCCCTGCAGCTTCTTCTGGATCAGCTCCGCCATGGCAGGGATGAAAGCCTACGGGGAGCGAGACAAGGGCGCTGCGTCTCACTCTCTGGAAGGTACCTGAGCTCCCTTTTCTGATCTCGCCTGCGGAAATGATAGCACTCTTGAGAGGCAGCCCTGAGGGGCACCGCCACCTCCCCCCGTCCCGGGTATCGACTCCACCCCGTTCCCAGGATATGGTGGGCGAAACGCTAGACCATAAGCCTCTCAACCGAAATCCTAACCTATTCACGTTCTGCCTTCAGTAGTAATAAACCCGGAAGTAAACGAGGAATGGTGGGAAAAGACTGCGCCGGAAGTTTCTTTCTGACCCTTGATGGGAAGTGTAGTTCTGACACGTTTAGCGAGTGGAGTTCTGCTAAAAAGACTGGACTCGCATATTTTTAGGCAAGATGGGGAAACTAACCCGGAAAAAGAAACCGCACCGCTACTTAGCCCCTGGTCCCGGGCCTGCCTTTCTTTTGTAAGTCACTCTTGCATAAGCTGCCGCTCGCGATAAGGTGCCAAGAGCTCTTCCGCCCCTCTAAGGAGAGCGTGCCCTCACTCAAGATGGTGCCTAGAGAGCTTCAGACCTGGTACGCTGCTGATTGGATGAAGGATAGAGGACTTCCGGGAGTTTTCAAGCCGACTGTGGGGCAGCTGAGAGGAGTTTTGCACGTGGATCGCCGTTCGGATGGGCGAGGTGGAGACAGCCCCGAAGCCGGGCACGGATGTCCCGCCCAAGAAAGACAAACTTCAGACCAAGAGAAAGGTATCGGCCTCCCTGGGTGGGAAAGGAAGTTTTTTGCTGCGGGGTCGTGGGGGCGGGGCGTGGGTGCGGAGTATCAGAGTTCCTGATCTGCTTGTAGAAACTGCGGCGATACTGGGAGGAAGAGACCGTTCCGACTACAGACGGAGCCTCTCCAGGGCCTCCTTGTAACAAGAAGAATCGGGAGCGCAGTCCTCAGAGACCAAAAAATGCTCACATATTAAAGAAGTCTCGGATCTCTAAGAAGCCTCAGGTCCCGAAGAAACCCCGAGAATGGAAGAACCCGGAGTCCCAGCGGAGCTTGTCCGGGGTGAATGTGGAACCTGATGGGTGGCGAGGCAGGCCGCCTTGTGCTTTGAAAGGGTTGGGGGTCAATCCAAGGCTGTCTACTAACTGCGTTCTCCTTTCCCCTAGGCCCAAGATCCATTCCCAGGCCCCGCCCCCGTGCCTGTGGAGGTGGTCCAGAAGTTCTGTCGCATTGACAAATCCCGAAAGGTGAGGTCCAGCCGGAGAGTTGGGAAGTGTTGGAGGCAGGGAGTGTCTGGGTGAGTTGAATGGAGGCTGGGCCAGGTAGCTCTCCTGTGACCCCACTTAGCCTATGGTTCTTCTGCCACTCCTCCCCACCAACAATGTTATAGCTACCACGTTCTAAAGCCAAAACTCGAAGCCGACTTGAGGTGGCTGAAGCTGAAGAAGAGGAAACAAGTATCAAAGCTGCTCGTTCTGAACTGCTGCTTGCTGAGGAACCTGGGTGAGTGGGCCCTAATCTGGACCCCCAATCCCTGCCTTATAGGACTGTCTTTTCTCATTTTTATGTTGGTACACTTGCTTCATATTGGGAAACTTTACTGCTATTCTAACCCTTGTTTTCAGGTTTCTGGAAGGGGAGGATGGGGAAGACACAGCAAAGATATGCCAGGCTGACATTGTGGAGGCAGTAGACATTGCAAGTGCAGCCAAGGTGAGCCTGAGGAGGTAAAGGAGCCAAGGGATTGATTGGTGGTGCAGGACAAGAGAGGAATGGGGGCTAGAAGAAGGCCGTTACTGCAGGGTACTCATTTTTTTTTTTTTTTTTTTTTCACTCTTCTCTTTCCCAGCACTTTGACTTGAATCTGAGGCAATTTGGGCCCTACAGACTAAACTACTCTCGAACTGGAAGGTAAGGTTGAATTCTAGTGACTCTTGAACTAAGATGTGTTTCCTTAACCACTTTAGCCATGCCCACTTCAGCCATTCGCAGTGTATGTTTGGGTTGTTGATGAGGGGAGGGTCCTTCCATTTGCTTGGGTGTGAGGGTGAGCACCTGGAGCAACATGTGTCTGCCCACCTGGAGAGATGGGGCTGGCATGGGGCAGACCTCAAGTCGTCTGAGTCGGTGGTCCCCTGCCTTAACACCCTGCCTGCCCCTCACCTCCAACAGACACCTGGCTTTTGGAGGGCGCCGAGGTCATGTGGCTGCCCTTGACTGGGTAACAAAGAAGCTTATGTGCGAGATCAACGTCATGGAGGCAGTGCGGGACATCCGGTCAGTGGCCTCATTGTCAGCAGTCAGTAGGGGTGAGATAGTCCATCCTTGATTGAATGATAGCCTATAACCTCATTTCCCAGTTGAACCACTCTTCCTCTCCCCCAGGTTTCTCCATTCTGAGGCACTGCTTGCTGTTGCCCAGAACCGCTGGCTCCACATCTATGACAATCAGGGCATTGAACTCCACTGTATCCGCCGGTGTGACCGAGTGACACGGCTTGAGTTCCTGCCCTTCCACTTCCTCCTGGCTACAGCTGTGAGTGGCCGTGGAGCTCAAGAACTGGGTGGCAGCCCTTGGGATGACCACTTCTCCTTTAGGACCCCAGGAGAGGGAATACAGAGGGCAATCAGGACTGGGTCATTCTCTCTGTCTCTCTCTTTCTCAGTCAGAAACAGGGTTTCTGACCTACCTGGATGTATCAGTGGGGAAGATCGTGGCAGCTCTGAATGCTCGAGCTGGGCGGCTCGATGTCATGAGTCAGAACCCTTACAATGCCGTCATCCATCTCGGACACAGCAATGGTCAGTACCTGGCTTAGTTTTGACTCTCCAACCATCCTGACTTGCGTTTCTTCTATATTTATACTTCATGAGTCCCTTAAAGTTACCCTTTTATTTCCCTTTTTTGTTATCTCTTGGTCTTGAGTTCCCATCTTTCCCAGGTTTAATAATCTCAGGGTCAGGTTTGTATTAGCAACTTTGGTTCTTCTTCTCTTCCAGGTACTGTGTCTTTATGGAGTCCAGCTATGAAGGAGCCACTGGCAAAGATTCTCTGTCATCGTGGTGGGGTCCGGGCTGTGGCAGTAGATTCTACAGGCATGTAAGTTACTGGTGGGATGAGGTGTTAGGTGGGCAGAAAGTTGTGGAAGGTAGTGTGCTTTAGGAGCACAGACTCTAAAGCCAGGATGCCCAGGTTTAAATCACAGTGTTACCACTGATAGGCCTTATAAGTATGGGCGTATGGCATAACCTTTGTGTGCCACAGTTTTCTCACCCCAAAAATGGAAATATGAGTGTCTAGTTCAAGGGTCCACAAACTTTTTCTGTAAAGAGTCATATAGTAAATATTTTATGATTTGCTGATAAGAAGTAAAATCAAAGGGTACTGTGTTGGTATTTAAATACCAAGAGAAAACAAATTATCACAATTTTTTTTTTTGAGATGGAGTCTCGCTCTGACGCCCAGGCTGGAGTGCAATGGCACAATGTCAGCTCACTGCAACCTCCGCCTCTTAGGTTCAAGTGATTCTCCTGCCTTGGCCTCCCGAAGAGCTGGGACTACAGGCACCCAGCACAACACCTGGCTAATTTTTGTATTTTTAATAGAGACAGGGTTTCACCATGTTGGTCAGGCTGGTCTCGAATTCCTGATCTCAAGTGATCTGCCCGTCTCAGCCTCCCAAAGTGCTGGGATTACAGGCGTGAGCCACTGCGCCAGACCTTTTTTTTTTTTTTAAATCTTTTGAGAGAGATGTAGTCTTGCTCTGTCTCCCAGGCTGGAGTGTAGTGGCGTGATCTCAGCTCACTGCAACCTCTGCCTCCTGGGTTCAAGCGACTTTTCTGCCTCAGTCTCCCAAGTAGTTGGGATTATAGGCACCTGCCATCATGACCAGCTAATTTTTGCATTTTTTTGTAGAGACGGGATTTTACCATGTTGGCCAGGCTGGTCTTGAACTCCTGACTTCAGGTGATCTGCCCACCTCGGCTTCCCAAAGTGCTGGGATTACAGCTGTGAGCCACTGCACCCGGCCCACACATTTTTAAGTTATAAAATTAAACATAATATGGCCAGGTGCAATGGCTCACGCCTGTAATCCCAGCACTTTGGAGGCTGAGGCGGGTGGATCACCTGAGGTCAGGAGTTCGAGACTAGCCTGGCCAACATGGCAAAACCCTGTCTCTACTAAAAATCCACAAAATTAGCCGGGTGTTGTAGCAGGGGCCTGTAATCCCAGCAACTTGGGAGGCTGAGGCAGAAGAATCGCTTGAACCTGGGAGGCAGAGGTTGCAGTGAGCCGAGATTGTGCCATTGCACTCCAACCTGGGCAACAAGAGCAAAATTCCATCTCCAAAAAAAAAAAAAAAAAAGGTTAAACATAATATGAGGCTGGACACAGTAGCTCATGCTTGTAATCTTAACACTTTGGTAGGCTGAGGTGGGCAGATCGATTGAGCCCAGAAGTTCGAAACCAGCCTGGGTGACATGGCAAAACTCTGTCTCTACAAAGATAGAAAAATTAGGCGGGGGTGGTGGTGCATGCCTGTAGTCCCAGCTACTCAGGAGGCTCAGGTGGGAGGATCACTTCAGCACAGGAGGTTAAGGCTGCAGTGAGCTGTGATCATCCCACTGTACTCTCGCATCGGCAACAGAGGGAGACCCTGTCTTAAAAAATAATAATAAATATATTTGTTTTTGTTTTTGTTTTTGAGACGGAATCTCGCTCTGTTGCCCAGGCTGGAGTGCAGTGGCCCAATCTCAGCTCACTGCAAGCTCCGCCTCCCGGGTTTACGCCATTCTCCTGCCTCAGCCTCCAGAGCAGCTGGGACTACAGGCGCCCGCCACCTCGCCCGGCTAGTTTTTTTGTATTTTTTTTGGTAGAGACGGGGTTTCACCATGTTAGCCAGGATGGTCTCGATCTCCTGACCTCGTGATCCACCCGTCTCGGCCTCCCAAAGTGCTGGGATTACAGGCTTGAGCCACCGCGCCCGGCCTAAATATGATATTTGTGTAATACAGATTTACTAATGGGAAGAACTGAATTTCTTTTTGAGGATAACATTTTGCCTAGTTCATGTACAAAGTTAGTGTTCCAAATGATCAAATTTGACTGTAGATACTCATATTCATGCTGATCTCTAGAGATTTCATGTATTTCATCTTTGAAAACATCTTTTCACACAGTTAGGTAATGATAGGTGATATGTGAGGTGCTCAAAATGCTGTGAAGCACTTATGACTGTGTCACTGTGACTTGCAGTGTACAAAGCAGCAGTGCAAATCAGGATGCCGTAGTCTGTCATGACCAC